TCCCATAGGGGGTTTGTGCCCCCCGCCCCCCCCCCCAAAAAAAACAAATGTAAAGTGATGTAAACTAATTAAAATGTCTAATATAATACATCCAATTATTAAACAAAAAATATAAAAAGGTGGGGAAAAAGTCATTTTCAGTGTCAGCCTGACAAATTCTGCTACAGGAGTGTGCGTTGCAGTGCCATTCATTTCAATAGCATCCCAAACAAGCCTCCCACCCGCAGTGTGATTGCCTGCATTGGAACCTGCGGTACTGCAATGCTGTGCGTTCCACTGCGGTGCAATAGCAAAAAATTGTGCATGCAGTTTTATTCTGAAGTAAATGTTATGTTTGTAACACTCCATTTGTGTATTTTATTTTAGATAAAAGATGGTATTCATTTTTTTTTTTTTATACGATTAATCTAAAAAATAATCAGACAACTAATCGATTATGAAAATAATTGTGAGTTGCAGCCCTACTGAGGAGTATGAGGGAAATTCGATGTGGGAGAGATCCATACTCTGGGGGGAATGTATCAAAACTGGAGCAGAGAATTTGGAGCAGTTGCCCATGGCAGCCAAACAACATCTCTCTTCAGTTTGCTCAGGTAAGATTTGAAAATGAGACAGAGAAGCTGTTTGGCTGCAGTGCAAATCTGCTCCAGTTTTGATACATTCCCCCGTTTTGTAGCAAGTAGAGACTACTCCCTTTCCCAGATGTCTCAGGTAATGTGACGGCAGTGTTCAGTGAACATCAGCAGCCCCCCCCATAATGCGACATAGATTTGTTTGACTCCTTGTTGGAGCTTGGTGACATAGGATGGCTACTTTCTAAGACAACATCTTGAAGGTGTGATAAGGAAGAGATCTGTAGAAGCCAAGCGACCACTAAACACAACCTAGAGGAGGGTTCGATAAATAGCCTTTGAGCCTCTGTCAGGTTTCTAATGGTACCTGTGTCTGTGTTGGGCAGATTTCAACCGGGGAAATCTCTCAACTGGACAATGTTCTTTTTGCTTTTGGCACCTTCCTGTTTTGGTGACACCTGAAACCCCATTTCTTGTATGGGAGTCATAGAGAAAAGAGGAAAGGAAAACTCTCTTTAAAGGAGAACTATGAGGTGAGTGATTTTCACTCAGCCTCATATTTCGAGCCGACATGGGACAAAGAAACTGTCACAGGTCAGCTCAATAGATCGGGAAGTGAGCGAACACATACCGTCGCTCGCTCACTTCTCGATCCTGCTCCTGCAGAGAGCCGTGACTGTCACTCACGGCTCCCGTCAGGGATTCCCCTCCTCCGATCCTCCAGCGCTGACAGGCGGAAAGGACGGGGGCGGGTATAGCCGGCTCTGCCTCTAGATAGGCAGAGCCAGCTGTCAATCACGCAGCTGGGTGGATCTCGACAGTAATGTCTCAGTATACCGCCTGCTGTAGCTCGCGGTATACTGAGCTTTGGTTCACGGGAGGACGCTAGTTTTTGTCCACCCGTGACCCCAAAGAGAACAATGGGGAAAAGCACTGACCCCATAGTTCTCGTTTAAGTGAGACTAAATTCAAGAGTGAATCCTTCAAAATGCATCCAAGTACCCTATTAACATAAATGTATCTTATTTGTGTATCACTCAGCTGTAGATCCTCAAATCATCTCTGAATTGGTGCTGACATTGTCCTTCCTGCTGGAGGGTGGCTACCTTTGTTCCCCATGGCCCCTGTGTGTGTTGTAAAGTAGCCAACGCTCCAAGCTCACTCCCATGATGGAATGATGGACTACAGTCTCACATTTAGTTTACTGATTTGTATTGATATTGTAGTCCATCACAGGACTTAGATCGGTCCCTTGAACATCTCTCCCCCTCTGCTGCAGCAGTCCAGGAGACCACGAGTCATCATTTTCTATAGTGTATAGGACGTGAGGACTCCGAGGGACATATCATCCTTGCAGCGGAGGAGGAAAGAGGCAGGGTGCTGCCAGCTTGGAGGCTTGGGTGAGTATAACCCTTTTTTTTTTCTTTTATCCTAGGCAAAAATGAGCAGTTAACCCTTGCAGTGTGGGAGTAGCCTCACTACAAAGGTTAATTAAATGAATGCCTGGAGTTCTTCTTTAAACCCATTGGGAGGAATTTATTAAAACTAGAGTAGACAAACTCTGGAGCTGTTGCCCATGGCAACCTAGCTTTCATTTTTCAAAGCTTAACTGAACTGAAGAGAAAAGCCGATTGGTTGCCAGGGGCAACTCCCCCCATTAACTATTAGGGAAAAAACACGGAAAACAATGTTTTTGAATGAAATTCTGCTGGTGTATGGTCAGCCGAAGCGGCAATGCACACGACTCCTCATTTCTTCACAGTCACTCATCTCTTATCTCCCTCGCTCACAGCCAACCATCTCCTCCCCCGCAACGCCTGCACCCACCCGCCGCTTCTGATTGGTGGAGAAAGATCCGGCGTGATCTGCAGCCAAGCACCATCCGCGGATATGACAGAACAGATCCCCGACCGCTGCCTGGATCAGTGCTATGTGTGCCCTACGAAGAGCGGCCACCGATAACCTCCAAAGTCCATCCTTGTCATCATAAATACATTTCCTCGCAGGCAGGTAGACCGTAACCTTTGTTCTACGACACGATCCGGCAACGCCCAGCCATTTCGGAGGCCTTAGAATTAGAGCATTGTAGAGTCCAGAAGGTTCTTGAAACTACAGATCCCAGATTGCTTTGCGGGACAAGGCGTGACGTCATTTCCGACCTGTGATGTCCGTACAGGAAGTTGTGATTGTTTGTAGGCGTGATGATGGAGGGAGGGGACGGTGTGTGATATGTTCGCAGTGCGAGGCTTAGAGGAATGAAAGGGGGTAGTGATGAATGTGTACTTGTATCTGTGGGGAGGATTTGTCTTCCTCCTGTGTGATATTCAATGAGTGACTGTGCATGTTTTGTCCACAGGGAGGAGAGCTTCAAGTACCAACTCCAGGATGAAGATCAAGGATGCAAAGAAGCCATGTAAGTGAATGTGGTGAACTGGTGAACATATTGTACATATGTGGGTACCCATGTATTTTAGCTCTTACTTGCTGTAATTGTTTTTTTTTTTATAAGATCTGTTTTGCTGCAATGTAATATGTGATCTTTGTTTCTATGTTCATTTTTTAGAAACTCCATTTTGTATTTTTTTAAGGATTTTGTAGTTTTAGATTGTATGTTTTTAAAGCTAAAGAGAAACGGTTAAATACTAAAGTTAAAGCTGAATGCCAGGCTTACAATTATTTTTTGTGGAAAATAAGTATTTGGTCAATATCAAAAGGTCATCTCAATACTTTGTTATATATCCTTTTGTTGGCAATGACAGAGGTCAAACGTGTCCTGTACGTCTTCACAAGGTTGGCACACACTGTTGCTGGTATGTTGGCCCATTCCTCCATGCAGATCTCCTCTAGAGCAGTGATGTTTTGGGGCCGTCGCTGGGCAACACGGACTTTCAACTCCCTCCAAAGGTTTTCTATGGGGTTGAGATCTGGAGACTGGCTAGGCCACTCTGGGACCTTGAAATGCTTCTTACAAAGCCACTCCTT